AGTGCTAACACGATGATTTTGGATATAAGTACTCAACCACAAATTCTGTGATACTTGCCAAACTATGAAATCATATGTGTAACAATAGTATACAACAATGAAAATATTGCCCCAGTTTCACCGACATATTGGTTGCACGTCATCAGAAAATTTTATTGATCTTCAGAGTCAATAAAATCCGCATGGTTAGTCTCAAATTTAAGTTAACAACTTGATTGTCCAACATCCGCATGGTTAGTCTCAAATTTAAGTTAACAACTTGATTGTCCAACACAAAACAAAGAACTATGCTTAACTACCGACGGCAAAAATTAGCCGACATTTTTATGCTTTGCATAGTAATACAAATCCTTAGATGGACAAAAAACAGAGTATGGACCACTCATCCAATCCCTTAAGTGTTCAGATTCATAAGTGAATCGCCTAAATTCATACAGTCTGGGGGAAACTTAGATGAGAGTTCGACATCCTTGGTCTCTTTTATTCGCAATTCAGAAAATAAATTACCTTGAATATTTTCCGTCAAGCAATGTTAAGCACTAACGTACACTAAGCATCATGTAACCAAAATCAAATGAGAACAGAGGAAAAATGAAAGAGAAACTCACCAGTCCAGTCCATGCCATAAACCTTGACATCCATGGCGTTCAACCGTTACGCCAGATGATCATACCTCCCACTGCCAAATCAATACAAGGTACCAAACCATCAGCTACCGGCCACACAAGTTACTGTAATTTTTCTACGAAGCAGAGAAGGAAGGGAACCAAATTCTCACCTGTGCTCGTTCAATCCGTGCATGACAAAAACAAGCACCCTGCATCACCAACCAAGGACAGAGCATGCAGCACCACAACAACAGAGGACACCCGGGCTGAAGAAAGGACAAATTTTGCGATTTGTTGAATTCCTCCCTGGGCTTGACGGAGGAGGAGGAGGAGGAGGAGGCGTGCGGCCACCAGGACTGCGTGAAGAGCGTCTCGCCGCAGGCGGTGGGGATGAGCTCGTAGTCCCTTCGGGTCGTCCTACTGCGGCTTCCTCGCGACGAGAGCGCATGGCGCCGCACGCCTTCTAGCTCTTGCCGACGGGGTCATGGGGAGGGGCAGTGCCGCACCTTCCTATCACCGCCACCGCGCGCGACTCAGATGCGGAGGCGTGGGAAACGGCGAGCGGAGGCGTCGGGCCCGAGATCTGGCTTTCAGTTAGACAACGTGCAGCTCGGGGAGAGTCGCCGCATTGCTTTACCCTGGAGGCGGCGGAGAACGGGGGGTATGGTTGTGGCGAGGGAAGGGATGAGGTTTTCCTTCGTGGGGAAGGCAAATCCTCCTGGGGGAGGTGTTATCTTGCGTGTGACAGATGGGCCAATGAAAAAGACCACACCGAGGCGCTCCTGCCCAAGCATTCGCCAGGTCGATCTGATGATTTTTTGTCGTACATGTGATAACATGGACATCGTGAGGAAGCGCCATAGTAGCGACTGTTAAAGGGTTGTATTGTTGCAAAATGTTCAAGAACTCCCGGGAGCCATCGGATCTGATATCCAACGCCGAGCCGAGGGAGCATGGGAGCCCGGGCAGAGAAGGGAGAGACAGACGGGGCCCACCCTGCAGTAGTTGCAGCCACTATTCTTCTTCTCCATCTCCTCTATCGTCTCCAAATGCCAGCCTCGCCACGTCATCCCCCGGGCCGGAGCGCCGCCGCCGCCGCTCCAATCTCGGTACGTGCTAGTGGCGTCCCAGACTCCCTCGGCTCCAGCCGGATCCAGCGGCGTCGGTGTGGGATCCTATCGAGAAACCCCCGGCGCGCGGATATATTAGATTAATAACCTGATGATTATTTTCTTGGATTCCGCAGGTGCCGTCCATGGAGAATGTGAGGCCGCCGGGCCTCCGCTCCGCTGCTGACCGCCGCGTAATCGCCCGTTGCGCCCGCTAATCTTCTCGTGCGCCCCGGTGGCGCGGCCGGCCCTCCGCCGCAGCAGCTGGGCGCGTCGGCCCTTCAGGCGGCTGCTCCCCCTGGGGCTGCACGCCGTCGGCCTATTCGCTCTCCGCCTTCAGCTCCTCCCGCAGGGACGCAGCCACAATCTCCCACGGGGAGCGCTATGCCTGCTGCACTCTGGCATGCCAGCGTTTCAACAGCCCCATGCCACTGTCTCCCATGACCCATGGGGACACCTTTCTCCTATAGTAACCAGCTGCATATCCCATTACAGGGCCTTCGATTCGATGGGCACACTCCAGAGTCCAGAGCTTGGTGGAGGACTTCCAGTCTCTGCCAGTTAGTTTCTGAGCCTGGATCGCTTGATGATATAGAAGGTCTGCCACGTCCATTAGATGGTGATGAGGAGCCTGCTACTGAATTGCCACCCGAGTTAGTTCCGGCCAACAAGCCACACTACTGTTGGGGTAACGAACTCTACTTTATCATTTTCTTTATCCAAAGCACCGGATCATTTTCACATTTTTGTTTCTTGATGCTTAGGAGGAAGTGCCACTTGTCAACTTTGGGTCGGCTGGTGTAATCCGCTGTCGAAGATGCAGGACATATATATTACCCTTATGCAACATTTGCTGATGCTGGAAGGAAATGGCGCTGCAATCTTTGCACATTGCTCAATGATGGTAACTTTTAACTTGGGACTTGTAAATATTCGGTGTTTATCGAATGATTGATAACCAATGTTTCTGCCATCCATCACATCATGTAATAAAACCTGTAGCTTGGACAGCTAGTTATGTGGCCACATGTGTTGTTTCCCAATTTCCGCCTGCTTGACTAAAGCCAGAACTGCTTACTAAGATTTTTCGATCCCGACACCGTTTAATTGTTCATCCTTAAGATCCCTTACTATAATGTTTGCAAAATAGTGTTAGAACCCTTCTAGCATGATATACTGTTGTGGTGGCGTGGTGTTTTCAATTCATAGAAGGATCAAAATTTCTGTGCAACTGTTTACGCTACGAGTGAACTGTAACCGGAGTAAAGATAGCCATTTATCATCGGCTTATCACTGTTGCAAAATGATAAAGCATCACTGGACATACCAGAGTGCCAAAAGATGTTTTGTCTTGATTCCTGAAAAGCTTTGAAAATGTTAAGGAGATATATAGCTTTCTTTAGCTGTTTTATTATGACATCTATATAATATACTTAGTGCCACTTTTTTTTTATTGGTGCTCTCCAGAAGGTTATTCCTACCATCTTTTAATGCAATTTTTTTTTTAATATTCAAGTGAAAAAAGGTCGGAAATGATTAAAGATTATGGGGAAATTAAGTTCGGTTAAATACTTGTTGCTATGCATTTATCTTGAGATTTGAGACATCAGTCATTGACCATCGTGCTAAATATTTCTCTGGAAAGTGCTATCAGATTTATTTAAGATTGTGGCTATACCGAGGTCTTGAAAGAGGACCTGTTATGCAGGGCATGCTGCTGTTGAATCAACCTTTTCTAATATATCCATTTTAGCTTTTAACCACATTTCGCATATCCTATTCAATAACTGAAATAAATATGCGCATTAGAAAAAAGCATTAATGCGGCCATCCTCATTTGTATACAATACTGTTGTTGATCGGCAAGAAAAAAGTAGTCGAAGAAATGCTTGTTACTTTCTGTGTTTCACAATGAGGTATTTGAGGAGTCAAAGAAATATTATTGTATATGCCCTCTCTGTTGTGTGTCATCCTAGCTTACACTTTTGTGCTCTTGATGCTAGTGGCAGAGGATTTGATACAGATCAAAGGCCAGAACTTTCTAAGGGCACAGTGGAGTTTGTTGCTCCTACTGAATATATGGTTTGGCCACCAATGCTGCCTTCTGACTTCTGGGGGTATGTTCTACAGTATCTGCAGTATGAAGTGAGCTGCTCGAGGTATGTTATACATTTCCTTTTTTCGAAAATTTTCTTCTTTCTGAGGGTCATCATCTTTTGGTATCATTGATGATGCAGATTAGGGCTTTAGGATTCAGCGTGTTCTTTTTTCTTACAAAAAATATTTTCGTTGCTAATATTCAAATTATTTTTTCATGCGCTTTCTTCCAGGTAGTTGCAAAGACCATCAAATCATGCCTTGATGATCTTCTAGGCTTTCCACGAACAAAAATTGAATTCTTAACCTTTGGCAGCACATTACACTTCCACAACTTTAAGGTATTTCCTACAGCTGCTCTTAGGTATTACTTTCTGTCTGAGATTGCTTTTGCTTTGCAAAATCACTGCTTTAACATACGAAACTTCATTTAATGAGGTACTTACGGAACTTGTATTCTTTGCTTGTATCAGTTTTCTTTGAGTCAACCTCAAATGATGGTGGTTGCCGATTTGCACGATGTGTTCTTGCCATTGCCTGACGATCTCTTGGTAAATTTGGTCGATTTTAGACATGTTGTCGAGTCCTTTCTTGATAGCTTGCCGAAACATGCTTCAGGACAACATAAATGTAGAATCTCTTGGTATTGGCTGATTAAGACTTCGATGAGATGATGTCGGCGCATATGGTACAGACAAGGAGCATATTCTGAGGATACCAGAAGATCCCTTCTATAGACAGATGGCTGCCGAGTTCATGAAAAATCAGGTTGCAGTGGACATATTTTCTTTGCTCTTCCTTACTGTGATATGTATTAATATGTAGGTTCTCTTGACGAAAGATACTGTGGTCAGGTGTACCATTATCCACCCTTCAAGGCAACTAAACACGGGGAGAAACTTAAACATGAGCTTAATCGGGAGACTGCCTCAGAATCTGTCATGCGTATCAGATGTGGAAAAGGTTCTAGATTTTTATCCACAGCTGCATATATTATCTTATCTTCCTAAATATTTCCTTGCCTTGTTAGTTTATCCAACCTAACTCTCATGACATAATACTTTCCAGGGTGCGTTTCACAACATATCATGGTCATTTCATGCTAAGGTCAACAGATTTGTTAGCTCTTCCAGCTGTTGACTGTAATGAAGCTTTTGCGGTGTAACTGTCTCTAGAGGAGACCCTAATGACCACGCAGACTGTGTATACTTTCAAGTGGCGTTGCTGTATCCTTTCCTGTGAAGTTGCTTATGCACTGGTCTCCATCTCTTCATGTCAGTGAGAAAGTTGACACTAGTACATTACAAACGATAACTTAGAAAATGTCAAAGGAGCACCTCTCTCAAGGTTTCCTTTGATCTTAGTTTGGTGATAGCTAGATCCATGAATAGGGTTTGTCAGTAGAGTAGAACTGGGAGAGATCCAAGTTGCTTATTTTTTCTTATCAAAGCACCTCCTGCATATATGTTGGATGTTGCCTTCTGCCATTGGGCTTTTATTTGTACAATATTATTTAAAAGTGTGATTCTTGTGTCCTTAACAACCATCAGATATACATCATCTTCTGGTGAATGATGTATCAGGGTGGATACAGCTGCTGCAACTGTGGTCACAGATCTTGGTGAAATGTATCATCAAGCAGATACTGGTGCCATTGTGTCAGTGTTGGCTAGAATCGGTTAGTACTAGATCGATGTTATCCCCTTCATAAATGTCAATATACATGACTGTGATCACTTTATAGCTTACTAATTATCGCTATCCTGCAGCTGTTGAAAACTCACTGTCTGATAAGCTAGACAGTGTTCGACAACAATTACAGTTAAAGCTTGTGAAAAGTCTGAAGGAATACCGGAATCTGTATATTGTACAACATCGGATAGGAGGGAGACTGATATATCCAGAATCATTAAGATACTTGCCATTATACATCCTGGCTCTATGCAAATCCCTTGCTCTGTGTGGTGGTTATGCTGACGTCTCTCTTGATGAACATTGTGCCGCTGGTTTCAGTATGATGATACTGCCTGCAAGAAGGCTGCTCAATTTTATTTATCCATCTCTGTACAGGCTTGATGAAGCATTGGCAGTGGTATGCCGTATTTCCTTGCTACTGAACTGATTAAGTACCTTTTATCCAGTGCCGCTTGTAGACTTGTTACTTCCAAATTATGCAAGTTAGAATAAAAATAACTTCAGTTTTATTTTTTGTGATGGAAAGAATCAGTTAGTCTGATCAATTACTTGGCCTTTAATAGTTCATTCTTGCAACTTGCAGCCAGATCAGGCTTGTCATTAAGCAAAATAAATACATAACATATAGCTGTTTTTATTCAGTATGTTTGATACAAGGTTTTTTTCCTTCAATTTAGCCACATTTGTAGTTAAAATGGGCAGAACCAGTATAAGAAGTTAAACTCATTAGTCTGCTTAGTTAGTTCGGTATTACCTCAACCCATTTACTGATTCCTGCTTGAAAATTAAGTTTCTATTATAGTTTGCAGAGCCGAAAGTCATAGTAAGCATTAATTGAAACTGAGCTGATTTTATTGGTATTCGAAGTTTAACATTTCGTTTAATCTAGTCTACACATTGTCTTTTCTAACTGGAATAAATGTCATGATTTTCAGGAACCAGATATGATTGATGGGGCCCTGAAGCGGTTGCCATTAACCTTGCAGTGCCTAGACACTGCTGGTTTATATCTTCTTGATGATGGCTTCACCTTCCTAGTATGGTTGGGTAGGATGCTCCAACCTGAGCTCATGAACGACATTCTTGGAGTCAGCCTCTCAAACTTCCCTGATCTATCAAAGGTACCCTTCTTTACTCTTTGGTAAATAATATAGTCCTGACCTTGGGGCTTATACTTCATTACTCTTTCCGTCCTTCAATTTTTTTGACTTTCTTAAACAAAATTCAAATAAATTAACAGTGTATCATGTCATTTCTCCTTTTTTTTAGTAAGTTCTTAAAAATACCTCTGATGCTGGGATCAGAATCTATAAAAGGCTTACTGTTAGCATGTAATACAGCTTCTCTTTCGATTTGTGCTTCTTGCTGACATGGGGTATCTTGCAGATTCAGTTGAGAGAATGTGACAACAATCACTCAAGAAACTTCATGGCAGTACTAAGAGCCCTAAGGGAGAGGGATTCTTCATGTTACCAGCTGCCCCGTGTGGTACGGCAAGGCGAGCAGCCAAGAGAAGGTTTCCTACTTCTGTCCAACCTCGTCGAGGATCAGATGACAGGAACAAGCAGTTACATGGACTGGATACTCCAAATTCACCGCCAAATGCGGAGCTCGGGATGATGTACGGTGGATGTTCCAGGAATTTTTGTTTTTGTGTAAATTGCTGCAGATTCGGCTGCTGTGCCAGTCCCCGGTCGCCCTCTTAACCATTGGAACAAAATGGCGAGCCAGCCGTGCTCTACCATATGCCATCCTGTTAGCAGCAACGTTCTTGCTGTCGGCGAGCAATGCAAACTTTATTGTTAATATTCCGTTCTTGTGATTATTTTTCGTGACGAGAAAAGGATACACAGCTGTTGTACCAGAAAAGTAGGCAGCACCTTTGGTAAATTGTAAAGCGTTCGGAGTCTTTGATAGGGGTTTGTACGCATTTGTATCGTCGACAATTTTAGTTGGAAAGTTGTGTGAACTCTTGTTTGAGTGTTGGTATTGATCTGGATGCAATGGGAAGCACCTTTCTGCTCATGTTTTGATACTGATCTGGATTCAAGATGTAACATGTCGTGTTGGTGGAGATAGACAAGTACAAAATGTATACATGAATGCCAAGACCAGTTCTCATGAATCTAGGTTAACATGAACTCAGAATTTTCTTTGTCTAAACTGTTTTGGTGCCAGGTGAGTTCTACTCGGTTTCACCCACAAAGACATGGTTTAGACATTGGTCTTGAAAGATGTAACATTGACCTCTGATTTTCTACTGATGATGTTAAGACTCAAGAATCATAATATTCTAGAAATAATTTGAGACTAATCATAGTATTCGGTACTTAACATATTACAAAACTGATGGTGCCATAATCTCATACTAACAAACATGAGCTCATAAATAAGTTTAGCTGCATAGCAGTATGAAAGTTTTTCATGAAGGTTGATGGTCTACGCCTACACGGGGCATGCGAACAAAGCATGGAGATCCAACGCGTAGTTGGGCACATCGACGGTGTGGACGGGCTCGGGCTCGGGCTCTGGCTCTGGCTCTGGCTGAGGGTTGCAGTGCATCACGTACACCACCAACTGTACCAGCAGGATCGCAACTCCGATGGCGTTTGGTATCTACAAGTCACGCAATAAAGTTTCTAACTAATCAACAACCATCACAAACACAAAATATACTTGCTTAGATGAGAGGACATAGTTTCTATTCTTACCGCAGTGTAGAGATCCCAAGGAGTGGAAAAGAACCCAAAGCCAGTCGAAGCGGAAGCGTTGACGAGCCCGAGCAACACCTCGAGGAGCGGATCCATGTTGGCCACATCCTTGCTCTTTGAGTTTATACCAGTTAGTAGTGAGTTTGCAATATGGAATCATGACATATATATTACAGCATTAGGGAATTAATGCACTCATCCCTACAAATAATTATCCATGCATGATCTAATTAACCAGGCTGTGATATTACAGGCAGCATCAGTAATGAAGTTGCATCATCATGGAAGTAGTAGTTGTATCAAGCAAAAAGAAGGCAATGCAGTGCAGAGAAAGCAGAACCAGGTTGCAAATTTTTATCAGATTGATGACTTGAGTGCTATTATAATAAATAATTCTACAGCACGACCTGACGCCTCTAGTTTGACAAGACAAAACTCTGTCAGCTTTGATGCATGCATGCAGTTTCACTTGAGCGTTTACTTGATTCTACACCCTCCCTCAATCGGCACACCATGTAGTTTTTCAATATCCAAAGAAAAAGATGGCAGGGCACCCTTAATCGGCAAACCATGATAGTTTCAGAAAACAAAAGAAAACTCTGCAATCTGAAAGCCGTGCCGTGTCAATGCTAACCACCAAAAAACCAAAACACCAACAAATTAAAGCCTGCAGCTTCCGGCACCCTTAATCAAGCAGTTCAAGTCTTTACAGACCATATGCTTCCATAATGCTGAAAATTAGTACTCCCTCTGTTCATAAATATAAGACGTTTTAGAGACTTGTATGGTCAGTCTAGAACATCTTATATTTGTGAACAGAGAAAGTAGTATTCATGATGTAATTTACCAGGTTGCAATATTCCCCCTAATTGCAAGATGCATCATTTTGTGATTAATCAGGAGACTAGGTAGGCAGCCTCTGATGCACTTATACAGACAGTAAACGAAATCACCAAGACTATGAAACAGCCTACAGGTACATGCAGGCAGTAATTAATCACTAGTTGATTCTGCCTCCTCAATCCTAATGTATGAAACAGCTAGCCTAGTGTGATTTTTCCTCTCGTTTCTTACGAATGATTTGCAACCTAATTAATTACGAATGATGCATCTTGCAATATTTACCAGGTTCTGCACCCTCCCTCAATCGGCACACCATCACCATGAATGCATGTAGCCAGTTTGTCAATATCCAAAGAAAAAGATATGGCACCCTCATCTGAATTCGGCAGTGCACTAGCTAGCTAGTTTCAGAAAACAAGACTCTGCAATCTGCTGAAAGGTGAAAGCCCTGCAGCTGTGTCGATGCCAATCACCAAGAAACGACAATGCAGCTTCCGCTTGCGGTACGCGCGCCTACCGCCGTGCAGCCAGCCAGGGAGCATGCCATCCAACTCCGGCGAGTCGACCGGCCGACGGTGTGGCATGGAATTGAAAAAAGGGCCCCCTTTTTCGGAGCTACAGGCAAGATCCGGCCGCCGCATCGAACAGAGTCAGGCCAACCACAGTATTCTACGCCGGCCGGGAGCATGCACCCGCACGCGCCCAGATGCCATGGAGATGCCACGCCTTGGCATGCAATGCAATGCATGCATGGCGGAATCACCAAAATCATCAAGGAACAGAAGGTCACTCCTTGCCTAAGGGACGTACGTAGGCGTGCA